TCCTTTAGGTGCCTTTTAATGAGGAGTGGCTTCCGTCTGGCCTTTCTATCATAAAGGCCTGATTGGTGGAGTGCTGCAGAGATGGTTGTCCTTCTGGAAGGTTCTCCCATCCCCACAGAGGAACTCTGGAGCTCTGTCAGAGTGACATCGGGTTCTTGGTCACCTCCCTGACCAAGGCCCTTCTCCCCCGATTGCTCAGTTTGGCCGGGTGGCCAGTTCTAGGAAGAGTCTTGGTGGTTCTAAAATTCTTCCATTTAAGAATGATGGAGGCCACTGTGTTCTTGGGGACCTTCAATGCTGCAGACATTTTTTGGTACACTTCCCCAGATCTGTGCCTTGACACAATCCTGTCTATGAGCTCAATGGACAATTCCTTCGAACTCATGGCTTCGTTTTTGCTCTGACATGCACTGTCAACTGTGGGACCTTATATAGACAGGTGCGTGCCATTCCAAATCATGTCCAATCAATTGAATTTACCACAGGTGGACTCCAATCAAGTTGTAGAAACATTTCAAGGATGATCAATGGAAACAGGATGCACCTGAGCTCAATTTCGAGTCCCATAGCAAAGGGTCTGAATACTTATGGAAATACGTATTTGTTTTATCTTTTATAAATGTGCAAAAATGTCTAACAATCTGTTTTTCGCTTTGTCATTATGGGGTATTGTGTGTAGATTGTTGAGGGGGAAAAGATAATTTAATCAATTTTAGAATAAGGCTGTAACATAACAAAATGTCAAGGGGTCTGAATACTTTCCGAATGCACTGTAGATTTAATTTTAAAGCAGAAAAATTTGAAAAGGGGGTGTAGACTTTCTATAGGCACTGTGAATGCCTCATGTGGAGCTTAGAGAGGATAAGGTAGACGGGTGTATGTATACCATACAAATGATCAAACTGACAAGCTACTCTGACATTTACATACTGAGATCAATTAAACGAACGACCCATGTCTTAAATGCAACCAATAGCATAGGCCAATGAAAAGAGTGGATACACAGATTTTAGACTTACAATATGAGGAGGAAATTATAGTCCACCAACTTTCCAGTGGAACTCACCTATTCAGAAAGATTTTTCCCGCAATTGTATTTTGAAATATTGCAAAATACCTTCTAGCTGCTGCCTGCTGTTAATTTACAGCCACAACTCAACAATCAGCTGTTTTATATTTGCCTCGCGGGCTGCCCAATTGCGGGATTCCCGACTGTAGACTAGGCCTATGCGCTAATAATGTGACAAAACACAATCTACAGCAATTTTTAAAAATATGTGGCTAAATTATGCTGGTGTAGTATTTGCAATGATTTCATTTATTTTTATAGAGACATGAGTACTTATATAAGTTGGCAAATGTATTTCAATTTATCTGCAGCACTTCCAGCAGCACTTCCTGTAGCGTTTTCTTCCATGCACTGTGCTCTCCCCAATGCCAAATAAATAACAGGGGAGACCGGGGATGGTTGTAACATGGGATAGTTGTAACACTTGCAAATTCTTCCAATCAGGAGTGAGGTGGAATCATGTGATTTACTGTGCACATGCTCAGTTTAGTCCTGAACGCTCATGTGAAAAAGTAAGTCCCTGTGATAAACTCTGCAGATTTGATGCAAGTTAGCAATGCTAAAGTTTTAACATCTAGCTAAAATGGAAGCCGGCTAATGGCTGCAAGGGTCAGGGTTAGTTGTAACAACTTGTGAGAAAATGTTACAACTAACCCTGAGTAAAACTGAATGTTTTTGGTACATGTTTTCTTTTACTTTCAGCATGCAGAGATCATGGAAAAGAAAGACAGACAGGGGAGTACCTCTCCACACTTTGAAAAGAGCGTCAAATGATGTAGCAGAGCAGGGGAAGTCAATCAGATCGGTTGTATGGCATATGTCATGTGATACTGTACAGATTCTACAAAGAGAGAAAGATTCTACTGGAGAAGGGGTCGAGAGAGCTTCCTGATGTAGCCTACTGTAGTGGAAACAGGGTCTTCATGGATGAGCAGGAGCAGAAGTTGTCAGAGTATCTCTTGAGGGCAGCTGATTTATATTATGGATTGTCTCCCCGTGAGGTAAGCACTTGAGAGGAATTATTGAGGAGTAAGTCAGGGCAAAGTTAGCAGTTAATGTTGGTTGGCAATTAAGGTCAAGGGAGGGAGTACTAATGTAAATTATTAATGTAAAGTATTAATTGAGGGAAGTATTGAACATATTTTATTCTATTGTTACAAGTCAGGAAATGTGCCTACCAACTCGCTGTACAATACGGTTGCAAGCATCCTCAGTCATGGGATGAGAGCTATTGCGGGAGCAGACTGGCTCTTGTCTTACCTAAAGCGGCACCCTACTCTCTCCATTAGGAGTGCTGAAGCAACTAGTCTGTCACGGGCCAGAACAACAGAACAAATGTGGCAGAGTTTTTCAGCAAACTTAGAGAGGTGATAAATAAATACAGCTTTGATGACAATGACATATTGAATGTTGATGAGACAGGAAGAACCACAGTACAAACACATGAGGTCGCGAAACACCATGCATTTGCAGTTTGATTTACATATAAATAACCACACCAATTTGTTAAGGACAGATGTATGTTGATTGTATCAAGTTTTGAATACACTACCATAAACTATCTCTGATAAACTTACGAAAAGGTGAAAAGTGTTACAACAATCCCCGGTCTCCCCTAGATCATGATGCTCAGCAGACTACCAAACAAACCATGTTGCAGGCTAGATGTTGATCTGATCAAGTTTATGATAGCCATAACTGAGTAAATTGTGTTTTTTAACTGGCTGCTGAGTTAAAGCCAATTTAAGCTTGATCTGAAAATGTGGTCGGAGGCTTCATATGGAGGGTGTGACGCAATTGCGAAGCCTCCAGAGGTACGCAGAGGCCAAATCAGCTCCATACCACATCGCAGTGCTCCTCTCAAATTTTGTAATTATGTGGAGGGCTCCATATCGCTCAGCATTGACATGATTGGCGGTATAAACACAAACTCACTTCCTTGACAACTTCCTTCACAATAGCTCTGGCCTGCTCCGCTAAGCGCAAGAAGTATGAAAGCCCTGACGTCTGCTGAGGCTGCATCAGCAGTCAATGCTGTATGGCCACTTCAGATTTAGAATTGACCATGCAAAGCCTTATAAACGCAAAGCACATTCTGGTGTATCTGGCAGTGTAGCGATCTCATCTGCTGTGAAAGAGCCGATAGGCGGGCAAACAGTCCCTGTACTCCTGTTAGCAGCTCTGACTGGCTGTAACTGGGATGTTGGGTGATATTGATTGAGGGCACTTAATGGGAGGGACTACAGGAAAACAGATTATCCCATTGGAGAATATTGAACAAGAGCTCCTTTTTTCTGATAAAAAAAGAATGTTCAGAAGTGATCAACGAGCCACTCTAAATTGATAAACGGGCCGAATCTGGCCCGAGGGCCACCAGTTGAATAGCCCTGCAGTACAGTATGGTTTAGAAACTCTGTGGTAGCTAGCTAGCTAGATGAGTACACCCGCCTCCAGTAGTTGATCTAGAAGTGTTGGAGAGACTACAGAAAGATAGGGAGGGTGTTGATCCACCTGGTTTCTTTGAGAGACGTCTGGAAACTGTGTATCAGGATTTTGTGGCCATTTACACAGATGGTTCAAAAGATCCAAGGACAGGACGTACTGGGTCAGCATTTGTAGTGCAGGAATGTGGGGTGGAAGTCAGGAAACGTATTACAGATCATCTGGCTGTATATACAGCAGAGCTGATGGCCATACTGTTGGCCTTGCAGTGGGTGGAGGAAGTCAAAGAAGACAGAGTAGTTATTTGCTCTGATTCATGTGCAGTGTTAATGAGTCTCCAGTCCTTTAGCTCACGTAGCAGACAAGACCTGCTTTATGAGGTGCTACAAACCCATGGCAGGATTAAACAGATGGGTATTCAGATACAATTTACTTGGGTCCCAGCCCATGTGGGGGTGGAGGGGAACGAGGCAGTAGATGAACAGGCTAAACAAGCACTTAATAGTGGGGATGTTGAAGTTTCAATGAGCAAGGCAGAGGCAAAAAGACTGATATATACAGTGATGGTGCAGAGATGGCAGGAGCAGTGGAATATAGATAATAAGGGAAGGCATTTATTTCAAGTACAGAGGAAAGTCGGGGAGGGGAGGACGGCAGAAAGGGACAGAGAGGAGGCTATTTTTACAAGATTAAAGGTGGGACACAGCCAGTTGAATAAGACATTAAATGTGATAGGAAAGCATCCAACAGGAAAGTGTGATTATTGTCAGGAAACAGAGACCCTGGAGCATGTATTGCTACAGTGTGGGCGGTATCAGAGGGAAATAGAGAGGATGAGATCTAGTATGAGGGAGAAGGGGATACAGGAAACTAGTTTAAAGAGTATATTGAGTAGAACCTCATTAGATATAGTCTCAAATATTTTGTTTTATTTTTTAAGAGCAACGGGGCTGGGAGGTAGGTTTGAGTTTCTCCCTGTCTCTGGCCCACACTCCAGTACAGTAGGTGGCGGTAATGCACCATAACGTTGGATGCCAACCGCCGATAAACCCCACTGAAGAAGAAGAAGGAGAAGTAGCTTGTTGTGAAACAGGAAATGACATATCTAGGTCTTCCATGTTTACGCAGGTGTGTGTGTCTTTGAGGAGCTGTGCAGAGTGAAAATGCAAAGGATTTCACTTCTGTAAAGTTATAACTCACCGGCATTGCTATAATCGAAATTAATATCTTATGCATGGCAAAGCTTAAGAACCTTATTCGGTAATTCAAATTAAGTCTCGTTTTAGCTGGCTACATATCGTTGCTAGCTAGCAGCTGGCTAACGTTAGCTAGCTAGCTTTCTCCACAACAAGGAGGCGGGCGGAAGTAGCTAATGCATGTTAGCTAGCTAGTAAGCCTCTGTTCCGTTTTTAGTATATTTTGGTGGACGTTGGTTAACCTATATTGTGAGTGAGTGACAATAAGAGCTAGCCGACTTTCGCCGCAAGCCATGGCTGAATCACAGAAAGCAGACCATTCAGAGGTGATTTACGTGTTTGAATGAATACCAGCTAGCTATGATCTCTTCTGCTAGCTAGTTATGTTGACCCGCTCCATCATTTCCCGCGCAGATGTTGTTATCGAATCAACAATCTAAAACAAACACTGCACGCTCCAACTTGGTTCTATTTGATTCTCCCCAAGTTGGTATTTGATTGCAAGCACGAGTTACAATTTTCCCTCAATAGCCATGACACTTGATCAATCTGTAAACTGGGTTCTTGACATTTTCCTGGTCAGGTCACGTAGTAAGGGAAAACTCAGGGCATTACTTTATAGGACCATTACTAATAGAATGTTGTTTTTCCTCAGCATACAGGTGAGCCAGACAAAGAGACAGAGCAGCCATCTCAGGCTGGAGTATCAATGGATTCCGTGGACCCTGGAGCCTCACACAGCAATGCACCCACAGCCTTGGCAGATGGAAACAGTGGGGATGATGCTACCAATGCAGTCAGTGCAAGTTCCTCCTCAATTATAGATAGGGCAGGGGATGCTGGTAATTCAGAAACTGTGAGGGAAACAGATGCAGAGGATTCACAGATGGTGGACGAAACTGTAAAAACAGATGCCTCGCTGACTGTGGGAGAAACGGACAGTAAAGAGGATGCACAGACGGAAAGAGAAACAGCCAGTGCAGATGCTTCACAGATGGAAACAGCCAGTGCAGATGCTTCACAGATGGAAACAGCCAGTGTAGACACTTCACAGACGGAAAGAGAAACAGCCAGTGCTGATGCTTCACAGATGGAAATAGCCAGTGCAGATACTTCACAGATGGAAACAGCCAGTGCAGATTCTTCACGGACGGAAATAGCCAGTGCAGATGCTTCACAGGCGGAAAGAGAAACAGCCAGTGCAGATGCTTCACAGACGGAAACAGCCAGTGCAGATGCTTCACAGACGGAAACAGCCAGTGCAGATGCTTCACAGACAGAAACAGCCAGTGCAGATGCTTCACAGACGGAAAGAGAAACAGCCAGTGTAGATGCTTCACATATGGAAACAGCCAGTGTAGATGCTTCACAGGCGGAAACAGCCAGTGCAGATGCTTCACAGACGGAAACAGCCAGTGCAGATGCTTCACAGATGGAAACAGCCAGTGCAGATGCTTCACAGACGGAAACAGCCAGTGCAGATGCTTCACAGACGGAAAGAGAAACAGCCAGTGCAGATGCTTCACAGACGGAAAGAGAAACAGCCAGTGCAGATGCTTCACAGACGGAAACAGCCAGTGCAGATGCTTCGCAGACGGAAACAGCCAGTGCAGATGCTTCACAGACGGAAAGAGAAACAGCCAGTGTAGATGCTTCACAGACGGAAAGAGAAACAGCCAGTGTAGATGCTTCACAGATGGAAACAGCCAGTGCAGATGCTTCACAGACGGAAACAGCCAGTGCAGATGCTTCACAGACGGAAACAGCCAGTGCAGATGCTTCACAGACGGAAACAGCCAGTGTAGATGCTTCACAGACAGAAAGAGAAACAGTCAGTGTAGATGCTTCACAGACGGAAACAGCCAGTGCAGATACTTTACAGACGGAAAGAGTAACAGCCAGTGTAGATGCTTCACAGACGGAAAGAGAAACAGCTAGTGCAGATGCTTCACAGATGGAAACAGCCAGTGCAGATGCTTCACAGACGGAAAGAGAAACAGCCAGTGTAGATGTTTCACAGACTGAAAGAGAAACAGCCAGTGCAGACGCTTCACAGACTGAAAGAGAAACAGCCAGTGCCGATGCTTCACAGACTAATGGAGAAACTGACATACCCCTGGACATGGGAGTAGTGGATGCTGACGATGAGATGGAGGTCAATGCTATCAAAGTGGAGGATGACCAGATGCAGGAGGAAGACAACTTGGAGGGGATGGCTGCGATAACTGCTGTGGACACTTTTAGCAGCAACTCCCTGGATCATGGGGATGAGGTGGAGAAGATGGACACGGGGACAGACTCACTGACAGAGAATGAGGTAGAGGAGCCCAGCAAGACCGGGCCAGTGGACAACACTGATTCCATGCCTTCTATCATGGATACAGGTAAGAAGAGACTGTTGCCTGCAACTTTTTGTTGTCTATATGACCTTAGGATCAGGATTGTCAATTGTTTCCGTAGTTTGCTGAATTAATTTATTCAGATTGTATTTGTTTGTGATTTACGGGTGTGTTGCTACCCTAAACACTTTGCTATCTTGCTTGACACTGTACTCCATTGCTGCTGGAATGCCCCAGTGTTGAAAGTCCTATGAGTTCAAACACATTACCTTACACACACTATCCCACCTCTCAAACATAAAGTCTCCATGACAGGAGACACCGAGCAACCTGCTGAGCAGACCAGCTTTGAGAAGGCTAGCGGCTCGTCTCCGCCTATGGAGGAGGACCAATCTGAAGATGTCAAACCGTTTCACCCCAGTCCCACCTCCTCTAGCGAAGCTATTCACCCACAGAACAGTAAAGGTGAGAGGCCACAAGGGTCAGTCTTTGGAATATACGGTCTTTGGCTGCATAATGTTCCGACATGACCCGAATACCTGAATGTTAGTGTGGTCCCTCACAATATTCAGATGCTAATGAGTGCACTGCTATTCCTCAGTAATGGTTTTACAGTTTGTTTGGTTTTTAAAATTCACAAGCTGAATGACCTGTTGTTTTGCAGGCACTGACAGTCCTGCAGGGCTGGAGAATGGAGTCGCAGGACAGCCAGTCAAAGTTGTGGATGTGAGTATCCTCTCTCATCACAAACGATAGAAGAGGGAATTCATTTCCGCCCAAGTGACTAGACAAGCTTAAGCGTGGCAGAAATCTGGTCACTGCTTATGAGTGTTAAAGATTTTCAGGTGTTGCGAAGGCTTTGTCAGAATACCTGTGTAATAGATGTCCTATAACCATTCACATTAACTCACATGATTCCATCTACAATCCTCCTATTGAATGTTACATGCTGTTGTTGAATGTTCTCTGCAGTCGACCCAGTCTGCCCAGCCGGCAGCTGAGCCTGTGTCCACCAGCGCTGACACCATCTCCATGGTGAAGGTGAAGGATGAGCCCGTAGACGAGGAGTATGATCAGGCCCTGGCTCCAGCGGTCCTCTCAGAGGGCGTCAAGGATGAACCAGACGCAGCAGAGGTACGACATCTCTAAACTCACTGGTCCTCAGCAACAGCCAAGTCCTAACTGGACATTTCTGTTGTGAGTTACATCAAAGTCATCCGTTGACATCAATGCATATAGAGTTGAAGTCGGAAGTTTACATACACTTAGGTTGGAGTCATTAAAACTTGTTTTTCAACCACTCCACAAATTTCTTGTTAACAAACTATAGTTTTGGCAAGTCGGTTAGGACATCTACTTTGTGCATGACACAAGTAATTTTTCCAACAATTGTTTACAGACAGATTATTTCACTTATAATTGACTGTATCACAATTCCAGTGGGTCAGAAGTTTACATACACTAAGTTGACTGTGCCTTTAAACAGCTTGGAAAATTCCAGAAAATGATGTCATGGCTTTAGAAGGTTCTGATAGGATAATTGACATCATTTGAGTTAATTGGAGGTGTACCTGTGGATGTATTTCAAGGCCTACCTTCAAACTCAGTGCCTCTTTGCTTGACATCATGGGAAAATCAAAAGAAATCAGCCAAGAACAGAACAAAAATTGTAGACCACTACAAGTCTGGTTCATCCTTGGGAGCAATTTCCAAACGCCTGAAGGTACCACGTTCATCTATACAAACAATAGTACGCAAGTATAAACACCATGGGACCACGCAGCCGTCATACCGCTCAGGAAGGAGATGCGTTCTGTCTCCTAGAGATGAACGTACTTTGGTGCGAAAAGTGCAAATCAATCCCAGAACAACAGCAAAGGACCTTGTGAAGATGCTGGAGGAAACGGGTACAAAAGTATCTATATCCACAGTAAAACGAGTCCTATATCGACATAACCTGAAAGGCCGCTCAGCAAGGAAGAAGCAACTGCTCCAAAACCGCCATAAAAAAGCCAGACTACGGTTTGCAACTGCACATGGGGACAAAGATCGTACTTTTTGGAGAAATGTCCTCTGGTCTGATGAAAGAAAAAATAGAACTGTTTGGCTATAATGACCATTGTTATGTTTGGAGGAAAAAGGGGGTTGCTTGCAAGCTGAAGAACACCATCCCAACGTGAAGCACGGGGTGGCAGCATTACATTTACATTTTAGTCATTTAGCAGACGCTCTTATCCAGAGCGACTTACAGTTAGTTTATTTTTCATACTGGCCCCCCTTGGGAATCAAACCCACAACCCTGGCGTTGCAAACGCCATGCTCTACCAACTGAGCTACATCCCCGTCATGCTGTGGGGGTGCTTTGCTGCAGGAGGGACTGGTGCACTTCTCAAAATAGATGGCATCATGAGGAAGGAAAATTACGTGGATATATTGAAGCAACATCTCAAGACATCAGTCAGGAAGTTAAAGCTTGGTCGCAAATAGGTCTTCCAAATGGACAATGATCCCAAGCAGACTTCCAAAGTTGTGGCAAACTGGCTTAAGGACAAAAGTCAAGGTATTGGAGTGGCCATCACAAAGCCCTGACCTCAATTCTATAGAAAATGTGTGGGCAGAACTGAAAAAGCGGGTGCGCGCAATGAGGCCTACAAACCTGACTCAGTTACACCAGCTCTGTCAAGAGGAATGGGACAAAATTCACCCAACTTATTGTGGGAAGCTTGTGGAAGGCTACCCAAAACGTTTGAACCAAGTTAAACAATTTAAAGACAATGCTACCAAATACTAATTGAGTGTATGTAAACTTCTGACCCACTGGGAATGTGATGAAATAAATAATAGCTGAAATAAATAATTCTCTCTACTATTATTATTTCACATTCTTAAAATAAAGTGGTGATCCTAACTGACCTAAGACAGGGCATTTTTACTAGGATTAAATGTCAGGAATTGTGAAAAACTGAGTTTAATGTATTTGGATAAGGTGTATGTAAACTTCCGACTTCAACTGTAGTTCAAGCTGTGTGTGTATTTGAACCCAAATCCTGTGTGCATGTTAAATGTATGTCACCTTTGTTATTTACAGGAGTTGAAAATCAGTAACGTCTTCTCTGTGGGCGGCGCCCCTACTACGAACGGTGAGCAGGGCACTTTAATATTAACCTGGCTGCAGGTTTTTTCTGGATCAGGAAGGGGCTTAGGTGGTGGGCGTGGCAGGGGGCGTGGTCGGCCTGTAGGCGCAGCTGAATTTTGGAGAACATTTTAAAGGCCCTTATCTTGGCGGTGTAGAGAAAGTGTTAAAATTTTTTATCAAATTTCCTGCAATTCTACGATTTCCTCCATGGATCTGAGATACATTTTTGCAGTTTTAAAGCAAATTTCCTGTGATTATACATATTCTGCCATGGATCTGAGAAAGAACTTTGCAGGTTTAAAGCTTATTTCCTGCAATTCTATGCATTTTGCCATGGTTAATGCTGTGCTCTTTTTCTCAAACATAATAACAAAATGAATACTGCTAAATTAATTGTATTTGGAATTTTAAATTCTCCTTCACTGTCTAGCTTTTATTTGTTAGTTCTCAAAGATTATGTAATAAAAAAGTATACAGGTCATTTATCTTTTCTACATGCTTTTATATCTGGTTTTAGTCGTTTAAATTTGCACTGAAAGTGTTTTTAATATCCCCAAAATTGATAAAAAAATAAACTTTATTTTCAAAAACATTTTACACTGTTTGGAGTTAGGCAAGCCCGCCCAAGTATTTCCATGGCAGAAAAGTCCCTGGGCTTTGGAGTTGATTTTTATAGTCTACCGCAAGCTCTCCAGGAGCAACATTTGACTGACTACCCCACCTTACAGATGATACCTTTCTCTCATCCCCCCTTCCCTCAATCTCCACCGATCCTCTCCATCCCTCTCTCCACTATTATCCACAGCCACATCCACGCCAGTGGCCGCCCTCCCCAAGACTGTAATGCCTGCCCCGGCCTCCTCCTCCATCCCTCCGCTGATCCCCATGGCTATGCGGGTCGCCTGCTCGGCTTGTAAAAAAGTGCTGCTGAAGGGCCAGACAGCCTACCAGAGGAAGGGCTCCTCGGACCTCTTCTGCTCCACGTCCTGCCTCACCTCCTACAGCCCCCCGCCCGTCGTCAAGATGACTGCCCCCGGCTCAGCCAAGAAACCCTGCCACTACTGCCTCAAGTGAGTCCGGCTGTTGTCATGCCAATGGCGTATGTAGATAATGAATTAAGAAAATATAAAGGAATGTAAATAAGAAGACTTCTGACATTGCTAAACTATTTCCAAAGGTAAATTATGTTTTTATTAATTTATTATCCCCCCTCAGGGAGATTGCTAACCCCAAGGACGTGATCACAGCTCCTGTGGACACCATGGGCACGGTGAAGGACTTCTGTAGCCAAACCTGCCTCTCCTCCTTCAACTTCAAGAGGAACTCTGCCGTATCCACCCTCTCCTCCTCCCTTTCCACCATGACGGGGGCCGTCAAGTGCAGCATGTGCAAGAAGGCCTGCATTGTAAGTGACTTAAGGTCTTTGAGCGTTTCAGTGTGGTAGTCACCTGAAGTAACAAAATTGGCAATCTAAAAGTGGTGATGTCAGAGCTGACAGGGAAGTGAACAATTTTGATTAATTACACTTTTATAGTGGGCCGACACCACAGAGATATACTTGATATAATAAAGTATAAAACTGGACTTCCTTGGCTGCTTTTGCCTTTAACCTTTTTCCTGCAGCTCTTCCATTGTCGTCTAGTCTCAACATCTACTCCTTGTTCTCTTCCCACACAGAGTAAACATGAGGTGATCTTCCAGGGCAGCATGCACAAGCTGTGCAGCGAGGTGTGCTTCACGCGCTTCCGCTCCACCAACAAGCTGTCCATGAACAGCTGCCAGAGCTGCAACAACTACTGCTACGGCAAGGTCACCGTGCTGGTCGTGCAGGGGGTCAATAAGACCTTCTGCAGCGTCGGCTGTGTCTCCACCTTCAAACAGGTAAGAATGGGATCCCTGAGATGCAGGTCACGCAGTCAGGAGAAGCTGTTGGATTGTAACTAGGGCTTTTTCTAAAAACGGTTACGATCTGTCAAAACCTTGCTTCCGCCTCCCTTGTTTTCTCAATTCCTCTCAAAGCTCTCGGAGGAGGAGGTCTGAGGGAGGAACCTTGGATCTTCTCCTCCAGTACGTAAGAACCATCTACCTGTAAGTTCAAGCAAGCAAAAGTAGTCACTCCTTTGTGGTCGGTCTGGTTTTTCAGAAAACTAAGAAGCCTGTGGCATGTACTATGTGCCGCAACTTCCGCGCACCGGTGGAGATGGTTGAGAGCGCCGACTCTGACGGCAAGCTGGAGATGTTCTGCTCTACTGGTTGTGTTACAGCCCACAAAGTGCAGACCGTCAGCTCCTCAGGTATAGTTAGGCTAACCACCTCCGCAGCATAAACACCTCACTGTCACAAACACGCACTCATTCACACTCACTCTCTCCTCTCTCTCACTAACTTATTCATTCACTTACACACACTTTGTTTAAAGCATGCACTCATGCATATACATTCATAACACTCATTCCTTCATTTCAACCCAGGTGCTCGGGTAGAATGCAACACCTGTGGTCAGAAGACGGTGCCCTCCTTCCACCTAGCCATGTCGGACGGCTCCATCCGGAACTTCTGCACCATGAACTGTGTCGTCACCTTTCAGGTAACTCCTCCTCTGGATTAATTAATTAGCTCAGTTGAAACGTTGAATTAGAATATAAATATTGAAAAGACGGCAACTTAATGTCCTTCAATTTTATTAATTGCGGCTCTGATAACACTTACTTTTCATATTTTACACCTCTTTTACCCTGCACTCTACTCTTTGCTGTCCTGCGCTGACACCACAATGTTATGTTTCTGTGGCCTGTAGGATCAGTTCAATAAGAGCAACACCCAAAGCCAGATGAATGTGGCCCCCAGCACAGGGTCCACAGCTCCGCCCGAGGCCCCGGCCCAGACCAGGGACAAGGGATCCCAAGGGACCAGACTGCCCTGTTTCCAGTGCCACCGCCTCTTCTCCTCTAAGCCCGAGCTCATTCAGTTCAAGGTTACCTATATGGTGTTACCTTTCTCTGCGTCTATCCCATCTCTCATTCTGACTCTTCTCTTTGCCTTTCCCTCTTTGTCCATTTTGTTGAACTCCCTCTCACAAACACACCTCACCTCTATTTAGGTTGACAACCTCCCTCTTAATGCTGCTATAGAATTGATTGAATGTGTGTGTCTGTGCAACCCTACAGGATAAGATGGTATTCCTCTGTTCGGTAAATTGCTCGGAGGAGTACAGAAAGATAAACTACGAGATGGCACGCTGCGAGTACTGCAAGATTGAGAAGCCAGCCAAGGAGGTCAAGCGAATCAACAAGAGAGACTACATCTTCTGCAGCGAAGGTTAGGAGGGTGATACATACATGGTCTTTAACCTTTTGCTGCAGTGGGCTGAATCAAGTTCGCACCGTGTTCCTTGGTAGTCTTAAACAAATCTTCTTTGAAACAAAAGTATACACCTCACACACATGGTTATGAGCTTAAAAAAAGAATACAGCTAAAAAAAGAATACACGGACCATGTCAGATATCATGTATTCAATTTTGAGTTTGCATCCCAATATTACGCTTTATATACGCCACAGAAAAGACTGAAATATAACAAACCCGTTTGACATAGGAACACCGGATTTTCTGCAAAAACAAAAAGTGTATTAATTATGACAAATATTAATAGCATTCTACCCATGAGGCCACTAGAGGGCGATTTGGTAATTTGACTGCAGGAAAGGGTTTTAATAGGTCTGCTGCCTTGAGGTATTATTGAAACATTTTGGTTACCTTTGTCATCATAACACTAAATAAATTGACACACCCAACAAGTCACTTCTTCTACTTTTGTCATCATGTCATGACTTATGTCTATCAGTAATAGGTATTTAGTCTTTATTTGGAAGATCATACTGTACCCCTTGAGGCATTGCAGTCTTTGTTGAACCTGTGTTATACGTGAGTATAGGCGGAGTGTGACAGGCAGAAGCAGTGAGGACCTAGATGTGAGTTGGTTAGCACGACAAGGCAAAAGATGGCAAAAGACCTAACAATTATATATGTATTAGTAGTTTTAGCCAGTTAGTGCTGCTGCGCCTAATCGCTCTGTCATCCAAACTGCTTCTCCTTTTTAATTGCCATGTTGAGTGTGATTTAGCAAACCTTAAACTGTTTGCGAATCCAAATCGTCACACTGTATTGGACTAAGGTATGCAATTAGGACTGAGCTGGTGCTAAACGAACATCTCAACAATAAAACAGAGACACAGCCTAGAGAGAAGATGTTTGGGCTCCAGAAGCAGATCAGGCAACTAGAGCCAATGGCTACAGATGGGACATCTGGGCAATAGTACATCTGGTGCATTACACGACCACACCCCCAGTTACCCATGTTCTGCTGTTAAGAGAGTGTTCAGACTAGTGGCCATGCATAAACCTATTTCAACCTAGAAAGTTTTACCTATCTGGGGACTAGGCAAACTAGAGACAGATCTGGGACAACAACTAGAGACGATCTGGGACATAGACAACTAGGACAGATCTGGGACACAAGACAACACCAGTTAGACAGTTCTCAGTATAACAGAGCCAATGTTCCAGGCTAGTGGTCAAAATGGGCCCATAAATCCCTATTTCAGTGCCTACGTTTACAAGGGCCCATTGGGGTCAGTGTGCCCCATAGGGTCAAAACTATTGCGCTATAAAGGGGATAGGGTACCATTCAGGAGGTTTAGTCTTTGGACTGTACCACTGTTGCCAGACTGGTTTGTTCATCTCCACCAGAGCTCTCTGTTTATCTAAAGAGAACAGAAAACACACCACTGACTGATGTTACTACACCCTGTTAGTTACTACAGCCACAGTGAGTCAATGCAGGTCTAGCTACAGCCACAGTGAGTCAATACAGGTTGGATGTTTATGACAGTGACATTCTTTAAGACAGTCCCAAATGGCACCCTAATCCCTACATACTACACTCCCTTTGACCAGAGCCCCATGGGTCTATATGCCTTGGTCAAAGGGAGTGCCATTTGGGACTTAGAGTCTGTACATGCCATGATGAGAGACAGATGTTGAGGTGACGTTGTGTCTGTGTGAGGCAAAACTACAGGTGACTATTTTTACACCAATCACAGTCGGAGTCCGTCAGATCAGGCAGAGATAGAATATTAGGGCACTTGTGGTTGAGATGAGATGGTTGATGGTGGTTGGTTCCAGGTGGTGCTGGAGCAGGGCTCTGGTCAGTTGACTGGGGGGTCTCTGATACGAACACTACCATCCTCCATCCCAAAGTACACCCACTCTGTCATCCCCACAAACAGACCTGTCTCTACCACACCTGGTATCATCTTTATAGCTGTATTAACCTCCTTCCAATCGTGAGCCAACATGTTTTCAGCACTTTTATTTCCATGACTGATCAAAACTCATTTTCTCATGCTCTCTCTCGTCTCTCTGCAGCAGACATTCAGTATAGTGAGCCATATGTTTGGCACATCGAATCGCAAAAAATCACAGTATCGAATCGCAATAAAATCACAGTATCGAATCGCAATAAAATCACAGTATCGAATCGCAATAAAATCACAGTATCGAATCGCAATACATATAGAATCGTGAGAATCACAATGCGTATTGTATCGGCACCTAAGTATCGTGATAATATCGGATCGAGAGGTCCCTGGCAATTCCCCAGCTCTAGTCATGTCATGGCTATCCGTAATAAGCATTTATTTTTTATTTGAAAGACTATTCTGATCATCATAGTCGACCTGATAAGAATTCTGACTTGGCGGACAAAGCTTAACTTCCCTGTCTTTCTCCCCTCTTTCCTCCATACCCAGGCTGTAAGCTGCTGTACAAGCACGACCTGACCAAGCGCTGGGGGAAACACTGCAGAAACTGTGCATACTGCGCCTCCACTGCGCAGAAGGCAGTCACGGGCCAGTACGGGGGAAAGATGGAGGAGTTCTGCTCGGACGAGTGCAAGTCCCACTACACCTTGCTCTTCTGCCAGGTAAGAGAAGGAACCACGCTAAGGAACCGAACAAGACACCTAGGGCTCAATGAGGCTCAATCATTAGAAGTAGTCTCCTGTGCATGTGTCCTTCTTGTCTTTAACACTGATCTGAAAAGACTAGAAAATACTAATTTTTCTAAAAAAGACTTGTCTGCAAATACTACCAGACATTCTGCTTAGATTACTGTACAGTTCTCTCATATTAGTGCAGGAGGAGAGAAAAAGGTGGGGATAGGAAACCACATTCATTTGATGAGTGAATTAATTGAACTTGTCAAATGGTACATCCAATATGGCAAGTGGAATAGCAGTTATATGAATTCTTATTCTATGAGGTACGCTCTAACTGCTATTTCTACATCATGATTGTCTCCTCTCTCAGGTGGCTAAGTGTGATGCGTGCGAGCGTCAGGGGAAGCTGATTGAGACCCTGCCGATGCTGGGCGAGGTGAAGCACTTCTGCAACCTCCAGTGTCTGCTCCAGTTCTGCAGCCTGCAGACCCAGAACCAGGGCAAGCCCCAAGGCCAAAAGGGTAAGATTGATATAATACAGTGGGGAGAACAAGTATTTGATACACTGCCAATTTTGCAGGTTTTCCTACTTACAAAGCATGTAGAGGTCTGTAATTTGTATCATAGGTACACTTCAACTGTGAGAGACGGAATCTAAAACAAAAATCCAGAAAATCACATTGTATGATTTTTAAGTAATTAATTTGCATTTTATTGCGTGACATAAGTATTTGATACATCAGAAAAGCAGAACTTAATATTTGGTACAGACACCTTTGTTTGCAATTACAGAGATCATACGTTTCCTGTAGGTCTTGACCAGGTTTGCACACACTGCAGCAGGGATTTTGGCCCACTCCTCAATACAGACCTTCTCCAGATCCTTCAGATTTCGGGGCTGTTGCTTGGCAATACGGACTTTCAGCTCCCTCCAAAGATTTTCTATTGGGTTCAGGTTTGGAGACTGGCTAGGCCACTCCAGGACCTTGAGATGCTTCTTACAGAGCCACTCCTTAGTTGCCCTGGCTGTGTGTTTCGGATCGTTGTCATGCTGGAAGACCCAGCCACGACCCATCTTCAATGCTCTTACTGAGGGAAGGAGGGTGTTGGCCAAGATCTCGGGATACATGGCCCCATCCATCCTCCCCTCAATACGGTGCAGTCGTCCTGTCCCCTTTGCAGAAAAGCATCCCCAAAGAATGATGTTTCTACCTCCATGCTTCACGGTTGGGTTGGTGTTGTTGGGGTTGTACTCATCCTTCTTCTTCCTCCAAACACGGCGAGTGGAGTTTAGACCAAAAAGCTCTATTTTTGTCTCATCAAACCACATGACCTTCTCCCATTCCTCCTCTGGATCATCCAGATGATCATTGGCAGACGGTGCCTATTGTCCTGTAGCCCATCCCAGCCTTGTGCAGGTCTACAATTTTATCCCTGATGTCCTTACACAGCTCTCTGGTCTTGGCCATTGTGGAGAGGTTGGAGTCTGTTTGATTGAGTGTGTGGACAGGTGTCTTTTATACAGGTCATGAGTTCAAACAGGTGCAGTTAATACAGGTAATGAGTGGAGAACAGGAGGGCTTCTTAAAGAAAAACTAACAGGTCTGTGAGAGCCGGAATTCTTACTGGTTGGTAGGTGATCAAATACTTATGTCATGCAATAAAATGCAAATGAATTACTTAAAAATCATACAATGTGATTTTCTGGATGCTATAGCACATTGTAATGTGTCATCATAGTATATTACATGTCAGTTATTTTTTTACATGTCATTATGTTGCCTGTTCACAGCTCATGTTTTGAAAGAGGTACACAAATTGTCATACAGACTTGGAGTCCCACCCCTATTAACGTTTTGGGGGAATTACTTGAGTGTGTCAGAAGTTCCTCGTTTTATCATCACAACTATTTCTAAGTAACAAATAAACCTTAACTGCAACTTCCTGTTCTGTTCTGACTAGCCTTCATCCCCCTGTATATCACAGTAAAGACATTGTAAAGAAAGTCTACACCCCCTTGAACTTTTTTAACATTTTGTTGCGTTAAAGTGGGATTTAAATATTAATTGTAATTTTTTATCATTGATCTACACAAAATACTCCATAATGTCAAAGTGAAAAGAAAATTCTACACATTTTTACAAATGAATAAACATTAAATAACTAAAATGTAGTCGTTGCATAAGTTTTCACCCTCTTTGTTTAGGCAAGCCTAAATTTGTTCAGAAGTAAAATTTGGCTTAGCAAATCACATAAGTTATATGGACTCACTCTGTGAAATTATAGGGGTTGACATGATTTTTGAATGACTGCCCCTTCCTCTGTCCCCATACATACATCTATAAGGTCCCTCAGTCAAGTATTGAATTTCAAGCACAGATTAAACTACAAAGGCCAGGGAGCTTTTCGAAAGCCTCATATAGAAGGGCAGTGATTGGTCGATGGGTAACAATAACCAATCGGACATTGAATATATATTTTAAGCATGGTCCATTTTTTTATAATTATAATGTGGATGATGTATTAAACCACCCAGACACATCAAAGTCGTCCTTCTGAACTGCTTAGGGATGTCAACATGAGGCCATTGGTGATTTTAAAACAGCTACAGAGTTTCATGGCTGTAATGGGAGAAAACTGAGGACGGATCAACAACATTGTAGTGTCTCCACAATAATGACCCAAATAACAGTGTGAAAAGAAGACTAAAGTAATACTGAGAAGAGAAAAAAAACGCAAAGGAATACCCTTTTTGGCCTAATGCAAAGCCTTATGTTTGGGGCAAATCCAACACATCACTGAGTAACTTCCTCCTTATTTCCAAGCATGGTTTGGGTATGTTTGACAGGATGAAAAGAAACGGGATGGAGCTAAGCACAGGCTTTACAGCAGACACTGGAAGAGGAATTCACCTTTCAGCAGGACAATAACCTACAACACAAAGCCAAATCTACACTGGAGTTGCTTACCAAGTAGACAGTGGATGTTCCTGAGTGGCCAAGTTACAGTTTTGACTTAAATCTGCTTGCACTACTATGGCAAGACTTGACTATTGCTGTCGAGCAATGATCCCCAACACCTTGATAGAGCTTGAAGAATTTTGAAAAGAATAATGGACAAATATTGCACAATCCAGGTGTGCAAAGCTCTTAGAGACTCACCCAAGAAGACTCACAGCTGTAGTCGCTGCTAAAGGTGTTTCTAACATAAACTGCTCAAAAAAATAAAGGGAACACTAAAATAACACATCCTAGATCTGAATGAATGAAATAATCTTATTAAATACTTTTTTCTTTACATAGTTGAATGTGCTGACAACAAAATCACACAAAAATTGTCAATGGAAATCAAATGTATCAACCCATGGAGGTCTGGATTTGGAGTCACCCTCAAAATTAAAGTGGAAAACCACACTACAGGCTGATCCAACTTTGATGTAATGTCCTTAAAACAAGTCAAAATGAGGCTCAGTAGTGTGTGTGGCCTCCACGTGCCTGTATGACCTCACTACAATGCCTTGGCATGCTCCTGATGAGGTGGCGGATGGTCTCCTGAGGGATCTCCTCCCAGACCTGGACTAAAGCATCCGCCAACTCCTGGACAGTCTGTGGTGCAACGTGGCGTTGGTGGATGGAGCGAGACATGATGCCCCAGATGTGCTCAATTGGATTCAGGTCTGGGGAACGGGCGGGCCAGTCCATAGCATCAATGCATTCCTCTTACAGGAACTGCTGACACACTCCAGCCACATGAGGTCTAGCATTGTCTTGCATTAGGAGGAACCCAGGGCCAACCGCACCAGCATATGGTCTCACAAGGGGTCTGAGGATCTCATCTCGGTACCTAATGGCAGTCAGGCTACCTCTGGCGAGCACATGGAGGGCTGTGCGGCCCCCCAAAGAAATGCCACCCCACACCATGACTGACCCACCGCCGAACCGGTCATGCTGGAGGATGTTGCAGGCAGCAGAACGTTCTCCACGGTGTCTCCAGACTCTGTCACATGCTCAGTGTGAACCTGCTTTCATCTGTGAAGAGCACAGGGCGCCAGTGGTGAATTTGCCAATCTTGGTGTTCTCTGGCAAATGCCAAATGTCCTGCACGGTGTTGGGCTGTAAGCACAACCCCCACCTGTGGACGTCGGGCCCTCATACCACCCTCATGGAGTCTGTTTCTGACCGTTTGAGCAGACACATGCACATTTGTGGCCTGCTGGAGGTCATTTTGCAGGGCTCTGGCAGTGCTCCTCCTGCTCCTCCTTGCACAAAGGCGGAGGTAGCGGTCCTGCTGCTGGGTTGTTGCCCTCCTATGGCCTCCTCCACGTCTCCTGATGTACTGGCCTGTCTCCTGGTAGCGCCTCCATGCTCTGGACACTACGCTGACAGACACAGCAAACCTTCTTGCCACAGCTCGCATTGATGTGCCATCCTGGATGAGCTGCACTACCTGAGCCACTTGTGTGGGTTGTAGACTCCGTCTCATGCTACCACTAGAGTGAAAGCACCGCCAGCATTCAAAAGTGACCAAAACATCAGCCAGGAAGCATAGGAACTGAGAAGTGGTCTGTGGTCACCACCTGCAAAACCAGTCCTTTATTGGGGGGTGTCTTGCTAATTGCCTATAATTTCCACCTGTTGTCTATTCCATTTGCACAACAGCATGTGAAATTTATAGTCAATCAGTGTTGCTTCCTAAGTGGACGGTTTGATTTCACAGAAGTGTGATTGACTTGGAGTTACATTGTGTTGTTTAAGTGTTCCCTTAATTTTTTTGAGCAGTGTATATTGACTCAGAGAGGTGAATACTTATCTGATCAAGTTTTATTTTTCATTAATCTAAATTTTGTGGGGGAATTTCTCTTTCACTTTGACACTAGAGTATTTTGTGTAGATTGTTGACAAAAAATGACAATTAAATCAATTTTAATCCCACTTTGTAATGCAATAAAATGTGCTGAAATCCACAGGGGGTGTATACTTTCTATAGGCACTGTATAATAATGACTGCAACATTTATCTCTCTCTCTCTTCCACGTATCCTTCCAGTGGCCATCTCAATCGCTCCATCCCCCTCCAATACTACCACTGCTACGAGTGTGTCTGATCCAGTCATCGCCAACGTAGTCTCACTAGCCAGCTCCCCCACTGGCCAGCCCAACTACTCCAACACTGCCCTGCAAGGTATGCACACACACACTCTGTTACCAGTTACTGTATACACACTGGGATACACACGAGGTGTTATACACTATCAAGTGTAACCGGAGAGTGTGCAACCTGAGTGTTCAACTATCTGTTATCATCTCTTTGAATAGGTTTAAGGTGTCATTGCTAGTAGTGTAGCCTGTTGACACCCATTAAGGTGCAGGTTAATTACAGCTGATTTAGATTGATAAGTTATCTTATTAGCAGGCCTGACTGACTGGCTGTGGTGTTTTTATACTGACTCATGCTCTGTTGCTTCATGACAGGGACTGTTCCCAGCAGACATGTGAAGTATGTTGGAAATGTAAGTTGTGCATATGCGTTCTTTTGTCTATATTTGTCTATATGTTTATGTATTATACATATGGGGGCGAATTGTAACTTCCACTTAATGTGACTTTAATGCAGGAAAACTGAAATCCATTTAACCTAATTTCTACCAGCATGTCACCTTTGCAACTAGAGGCGGAAAAAACTCTAGATCACCTTTACTCCACACTAGAGGTTGACACAGGAACAGGACTTCCGTCGGTCTGTCGGGTCCCACGGGATTCTGGCAGGAGTGGGAGTGAAGTTCTAGAATCAAGTTCAGGACAGTCCACAGGAGTGGGCACTACAGGAATAGTTATAAACATAGTTTTCTTTGGCGGGGGGGTGTTGTAGAAATATGGAACGTGTGGAGCATTTCATAAAAATAACTGTCTAGGCTAATATAGTTTACTTAATATATATATATATATATATGGTCATTTCCCCCCTCCCCTTCCGTCGGCTCACTCTTGTGCGCCTTGCTCCAGTTGTAGCTAGTCACTACTTTACCCATTAACTTTACCTCAGATGCACAGGAGATACTCAAATGTCCATATCATGAGTTCATCAGACTCTGGGTAAGTAGAAGGGCTGCCTTTATTGCCATATTCTTGTAATATGGTTGTTATCAGCTGTGTGCACTGTGCAGGCAACTGTCTCGTAAGCGCTGAGCAGCAGCCAAATGGAGCAGGTGCTTTGGCTACTCCCACGCAGAGCGCAATATTGCGTTAGTGGATACTCGCACTGCTCTCAGGGCAGGTCTGCCAGTTTTGACTAGCAGAAGTGACTTTTCGTAAAAGGTTAGGTGAACTTACACAGCAGGTTGGATGAATTAACTTGGCGTGTTAGGAGAATTAGGTTAGGGTTATCTAAAATGCAAAAATTGTCCCCCACGCGACTCAAACATATCTAGCTACAACCAGGCCTGCCATGAGAGCAGTCTTGGTTTCCACTAATGCGGTTCTGCACGCAGAGCGGGGGACAGACAGACTAGCAGCTAACAGAGGAAGTTATTTCAGAGGAAAATGTTTGCATGGATCGGGACGTGAGTGATATATATTGGGACGGGAAAGTAAAGTTCCGGGGTTATAGAACTGTTGCATGATCAGGACAGAATGAGAAGAAAATGTATAGGAATTACTTTTCATGCCTGTGTCAACCTCTACTCCACACACAGAGACTCATACAAAGCTCTACCTCGCCGTCCATTTGGCAAATCTGACATTAACTCTATCCTCCTGATTACGGCTTACAAGCAAAAACTCAAACAGGAAGTACCAGTGACACGCTATATACGGAAGTGGTCCGATGCTACAGGACTGTTTCGCTAACAGACTAGAAGACGTTCCGGGATTATTCCGATGGCATTGAGGAGTTTACCATATCAGTCACTGGCTTCATTAATAAGTGCATCGACGATGTTTGCCCCACAGTGACCGTACGTACATATTCCAACCAGAAGCCATGGATTACAGGCGACATCCGCACTGAGCTAAAGTATAGAGCTACCGTTTTCAAGGAGCGGGACACTAATCCGGACACTTATAAGAAATCACGCTACGCCCTCCGACGAACCAACTGACTCTCGTCGGATGTGGCAGGGCTTGTAAACTATCACGGATTACAAAGGGAAACCCAGCCGCGAACTGTCCAGTGATGTGAGCCTACCAGACAAACTAAATACCTTTTTTTATGCTCGCTTCGAGGCTAGCAGCACTGAACCATGCAAGAGAGCACCAGATGTTCCGGACAACTGTGTGATCACGCTCTCTGTAGCCTATGTGAGTAAGACCTTTAAACAGGTTAACATTCACAAGGCCGCAGGGCCAGATGGATTTCCAGGACACATACTCCGAGCATGCGCTGACCAGCTGACAGGTGTCTTCACTGACATTTTCAACCTCTCCCTGACCCAGTCTGTAATACCTACATGTTTCAAGCAGACCACCATAGTCCCTGTGCCCAAGAACGCCAAGGTAACCTGTCATGAAATGCTTTGAAAGGCTGGTCATCAACACCATCATCCCAGACAACCTGGACCCACTCCAATTCACATACCGCCCCAACAGATCCACAGATGACTCAATCTCTATTGCACTCCACACTGCCCTTTCCCATCTGGACAAAAGGAACAGCTACGTGAGAATGCTGTTAATTGACTACAGCTCAGCGTTCAACACCATAGTGCCCTCAAAGCTCATCACTAAGCTAAGGATCCTGGGATTAAAAACCTCCCTCTGCAACTGGATCCTGGTCTTCCTGATGGGCCGCCCCCAGGTGGTGAGGGTAGGCAACAACACGTCCGCCACGCTGACGCTCAACACGGGGGCCCCTCAGGGGTGCATGCTTAGCACCCTCCTGTACTCTGTTCACGCACGACTGCGTGGCCGCACACGACTCCAACACCATTAAGTTTTCGGACGACATGACAGTGGTAGGCCTGATCACTGACGACGATGAGACAGCTCACTCTTGTGCGCCTTGCTCCAGTTGTAGCTAGTCACTACTTTACCCATTAACTTTACCTCAGATGCACAGGAGATACTCAAATGTCCATATCATGAGTTCATCAGACTCTGGGTAAGTAGAAGGGCTGCCTTTATTGCCATATTCTTGTAATATGGTTTATCAGCTGTGTGCACTGTGCAGGCAACTGTCTCGTAAGCGCTGAGCAGCAGCCAAACGGAGCAGGTGCTTTGGCTACTCACACGCAGAGCGTGTGTCTGAGACCTCGCAGTGTGGTGCCAGGACAACAACTTCTCCCTCAACGTCAGCAAGTCAAAGGAGCTGATTGCGGACTACAGGAAACAGAGGGCCGAGCACACCCCCATCCACATCAACAGGGCTCTAGTGGACAGGTCGAGAGCTTCTGGTTCCTTGGGTGTCCACATCACTAAGGAATTATCATGGTCTAGTCCAGTCATGAAGAGGGCGTGACAACGCCTCTTCGCCCTCAGAATGCCGAAAAGATTTGTCATGGGCCCTCAGATCCTCAAAGTTCTATAGCTGCCCCATTGAGAGCATCCTGACTGGCTGCATCACCGCTTGGTATGGCAACTGCTTGGCATCCGACCGCAAGGCACTACAAAGGGTTGTGTGTACGGCCCAGTACATCACTAGGGCCGAGCTCCCTACCATCCAGGACCTCTATACCAGGCGGTGTCAGAGGAAGGCCCTAAGAATTGTCAGACTCCAGACACCCAAGTCATAGACTGTTCTCTCTGCTACAGCACGGCAAGCGGAACCAACAGGCCCCTGAACAGCTTCCCCAAGCCATAAGACTTCTAAATAGTTAGTCCGGCTAGCTATTGGTTAACTATTTAACTATCTGCATTGACCCTTTTTGCACTTAACTCTTTTGACTCATCACATACGCTGTTTATTATCTATCCTGTTGCCTAGTCACTTTATCCCTACCTATATGTACATATCTACCTCAATTACCTCGTACCCCTGCACATCTACTCGGTACTGGTACCCTGTGTATATAGCCAAGTTATCGTTACTTATTGTGTATTTATTCATTGTTATTATTTTTCTATTATTTCTATTTTTTTCTCTGTATTGTTGGGAAGAGGCCGTAAGTAAGCATTTCACTGTTAGTCTACACCTGTTGTTTACGAAGCATGTGACAAATAAAATTTGATTTGAAGTCGAATATTCACTTTATCTGCATTTACACAGGCAGCCTAATTCTGATCTTTTTCCACTAATTGGTCTTTTGACCAATCAGATCAGATATTTTGCAAATAATAATTTATTACATTTCTATAATTATTTTCATAGAATCTCAAAGTGCTTCAAGTGCAAAAAAACAAACAAGCAATATATAATGACAGGTCAACCAATAGAGGCCAAGTCTTTGAAAGCTGCATCCTCCGAAAATGGAGAGGGTCAGGTCATGGCTTGAGCGAAGGGAGCTCGACAGCGGATGGTAGATGATGGTGGGTCTTAAAGCCGCTGGACTTCTCTTCTTCCACTCTGTGTTGCACCCACTTGGTTGATGCCTCAGCAACTCTGGGCACCAGAAAGCTCACCACACAAAGTTTAGCATAGTAACCAGTCGTCATCTCTACGAGCCCTCTGCCTCAGCACTGCTGTATTCCTCTATCTCCCATTCCTCTCACGCTTCAGGCGACTCCTCAAATTATGTTCTCAAAAGATCAGGGATTGGCAGCCATGTGAAACAAAAAAGATGGTACTGTGTCCAGATGCATTTTTCAAACATAGGCCACCATTTGCCTTGATGACAGCTTTGCACACTTGGCATTCTCTCAACCAGCTTCATGAGGTAGTCACCTGGAATGCATTTCAATTAACATGTATGTCTTCTTAAAAGTTAATTTGATGAAACTGGCTCTCATGAGGACCACCACAGGAATGGAAGACCCAGAGTTAACTCTGCTGCAGAGGATGAGTTCATTAGAGTTACCAGCCTCAGAAATTGCAGCCCAAATAAGTGCTTCACAGAGTTCAAGTAACAGACACATCTCAACATCAACTGTTCAGAGGAGACTGTGTGAATCAGGTATTCATGGTCGAATTGCTGCAAAGAAACCACTACTAAAGGACATCTATAAGAAGAAGAGACCTGCTTGGGCCAAGAACACGAGCAATGGACATTTAGACCGGTGGAAATGTGTCCTCTGGTCTGGAGTCCAAATTTGAGATTTTTGGTTCCAACCGCCGTGTCTTTGTGAGACGCGGTGTGGGTGAACGGATGATCTCTGCATGTGTATTTCCCACCGTGAAGCATGGAGGAGGAGGGTGTTATGGTGTGGGGGTGCTTTGCTGGTGACACTGTCTGTGATTTATTTAGAATTCAAGGCACACTTAACCAGCATGGCTACCACAGCATTCTGCAGCGATACGCCATCCCATCTGGTTTGGGCTTAGTGGGACTATCATTTGTTTTTCAACAGGACAATGACGCAACACACCTCCAGGCTGTGTAAAGGCTATTTTACCAAGAAGGAGAGTGATGGAGTGCTGCATCAGATGACCTGGCCTCCATAATCCCCCGACATCAACCCAATTGAGATGGTTTAGGATGAGTCGGACCGCAGAGTGAAGGAAAAGCAGTCAACAAGTGCTCAGCGTATGTGGGAACTCCTTCAAGACTGTTGGAAAAGCATTCCAGGTGAAGTTGGCTGAGAGAAGGCCAAGAGTGCAAAGCTGTCATCAAGGCGCAAAGGGTGGCTATTTGAAGAATCTCAGATATATTTTGATTTGTTTAACATTTTTTGGTTACTACATGATTCCATATGTGTTGTTTCATAGTTTTGATGTCTTCACTATTATTCTACAATGTAGAAAATAGTAAAAATAAAGAAAAACCCTGGAATGAGTAGGTGTCCAAACTTTTGACTGGTAGTGTATGCAATTAAAACTATTATCAAAAACAAAAGAGCTGATAATTTTTTTTTATAATAAAGAAAAACTCCTAAAAGTAACGAAATATGTACAAATGTACAGGAGCTCTGTGCTTTGGCTGCTACTAGGACGCCATGGCAACTATAGTCTTATTCTGTAGAAAATAATTGGGCAAATGATCAGAATTGGGCTGCCTGTCTAATTGCAGCCTATGTTGTGCATTTATGTCAGTGGGAGACTAAGTGAAATTCAAGTAGAAGTTAGGTTTGGCCCATGGTTACTAACAGTCTGTCTTCATTGTGTTTCAGGCCAGCACACAGACACAGCCCCCCCGGGCCCCTCCACCCAGGGCTCAGAAGAACAAGGCCCTGCTCTGCAAACCCATGGTCCAGAACAAGGGCATCATGTGTAAACCCAACTTCACCACCACAGGGTGCCAGACAGGTACAACACCATACACACACACACACGTAGCCTATATACCACACACGGTTGATATTATGTTTTTATGGTATAATGATGTCATGCCATAGTGTTGTGAGGAAGAGTTAAGAGATGAGTGGTTTGGGGCCATGAAGTCTACATTCCATTATGTCAAGGTAGATTAGTGATGTTTAGGATAGCATGAGTGATGTTTAGGATACTGACATGGGGTAAAAAGTTATGAACATCAAAGACAGGGAGTGCCCATGGAGACTTGCCAGATGTATGTCAGGAAGATGGTAATAGAAGGGTATATAAGGTAGTGTTTCCTTTGTTTAAGAGTTCAACTGACGAACGGCAAAGCCATGTCCGTTTGTTAGATGAACCCACGAGCTCGTGATTCAATAAATACTTGGTATGAAATCTCCACAGAATGTCTAAGTATATCCTTGCATCCTTGATTCTTTGATACCTGAGAAACTCATCACAACAACGTTTTTTCTTAAATGTTTGTATTTATTATAAGAAAATACAAAACAATATGATGGTTTAAAAGGTAAACAAAAATAACATGTTTAGGAATGGTCAAATTAGGCTTTTAAGGCACTTCCCCCATTTCAAATATTTATAAAACAAAAAAAAACAAATGTTTAAGACCAATGTACAAATAATTGGATATTTGCACAAAGAAAAAGGAAAACATGGTGAAATGAATGGCTTATATGGTATAGGCCATTGAATACATACATATTCAAAGACACACACATGTATTTCTTTTTATCTTGAAATTGTTTGTTGGTCCACAGATGATAATTTCCCCAAGGTGATCATAGTGCCTGTCCCAGTACCAGTGTATGTCCCAGTCCCCATGAACCTGTACACCCAGTACACCCCCCAGCCTGTTGGACTCCCCATACCGGTATGTTAACATCCCACATCTAGCACTACCTAGCCGTCACCTCAGTCAGTCACATAGTCACACAGATTTATCCTCAAATTCTCTCAAACAAGAGCTGTGTGCTCTGGACTCATTTGAAACCAACTGCCATTGAATAGTAGTTGGAGGTTGGGTGATACATGCGCTTGCAGAACAGAAGAGCAACATGAACAAAGAATTGCAGCCTCTAGATTGTTATGTGAATTGTTTAACAAACTATTTCAGTGTCTCTGTGCGTCTCCCAAAATCAAGAAACGGACAGAGTCCCGGTCTGCATAGTCAGAGATGTTTATTCATTGAGAATTCTGCCATCACAATTTCAGAGTCCATCTTTTATACTCATACAAAAATCCCTCCCCTCTTTAGGCGGGCTGTAGTTTTCCACTTTAAAACTGCTCTCCTGACCATCAGTACACACACACACACATACACACAAACACACACACATACATACATGCATACACACACACATACAGTGGGGGAAAAAAGTATTTAGTCAGCCACCAATTGTGCAAGTTCTCCCACTTAAAAAGATGAGAGAGGCCTGTAATTTTCATCATAGGTACACGTCAACTATGACAGACAAAATGAGATTTTTTTTCTCCAGAAAATCACATTGTAGGATTTTTTATGAATTTATTTGCAAATTATGGTGGAAACTAAGTATTTGGTCACCTACAAACAAGCAAGATTTCTGGCTCTCACAGACCTGTAACTTCTTCTTTAAGAGGCGCCTCTGTCCTCCACTCGTTACCTGTATTAATGGCACCTGTTTGAACTTGTTATCAGTATAAAAGACACCTGTCCACAACCTCAAACAGTCACACTCCAAACTTCACTATGGCCAAGACCAAAGAGCTGTCAAAGGACACCAGAAACGAAATTGTAGACCTGCACCAGGCTGGGAAGACTGAATCTGCAATAGGTAAGCAGCTTGTTTTGAAGAAATCAACTGTGGGAGCAATTATTAAGAAATGGAAGACATACAAGACCACTGATAATCTCCCTCGATCTGGGGCTCCACGCAAGATCTCACCCCCCCGTGGGGTCAAAATGATCACAAGAACGGTGAGCAAAAATCCCAGAACCACACGGGGGGACCTAGTGAATGACCTGCAGAGAGTTGGGACCAAAGTAACAAAGCCCACCATCAGTAACACACTACGCCGCCAGGGACTCAAATCCTGCAGTGCCAGACGTGTCCCCCTGCTTAAGCCAGTACATGTCCAGGCCCGTCTGAAGTTTGCTAGAGTGCATTTGGATGATCCAGAAGAGGATTGGGAGAATGTCATATGGTCAGATGAAACCAAAATATAATTTTTTGGGTAAAAACTCAACTCATCGTGTTTGGAGGACAAAGAATGCTGAGTTGCATCCAAAGAACACCATACCTACTGTGAAGCATGGGGGTGGAAACATCATGCTTTGGGGCTGTTTTTCTGCAAACGGACCAGGACGACTGATCCGTGTAAAGGAAAGAATGAATGGGGCCATGTATCGTGAGATTTTGAGTGAAAACCTCCTTCCATCAGCAAGGGCATTGAAGACGAAATGTGGCTGGGTCTTTCAGCATGACAATGACCCCAAACACACCGCCCGGGCAACGAAGGAGTGGCTTCGTAAGAAGCATTTCAAGGTCCTGGAGTGGCCTAGCCAGTCTCCAGATCTCAACCCCATAGAAAATCTTTGGAGGGAGTTGAAAGTCCGTGTTGCCCAGCGACAGCCCCAAAACATCACTGCTCTAGAGGAGATCTGCATGGAGGAATGGGCCAAAATACCAGCAACAGTGTGTGAAAACCTTGTGAAGACTTACAGAAAACGTTTGACCTGTGTCATTGCCAACAAAGGGTATATAACAAAGTATTGAGAAACTTTTGTTATTGACCAAATACTTATTTTCCACCATAATTTGCAAATAAATTCATTAAAAATCCTACAATGTGATTTTCTGGAATTTTTTTTCTCATTTTGTCTGTCATAGTTGACGTGTACCTATGATGAAAATTACAGGCCTCTCTCATCTTTTTAAGTGGGAGAACTTGCACAATTGGTGGCTGACTAAATACTTTTTTCCCCCACTGTACATACACACACACACACACACACATGCATTCCTTAGTTATTGCCGTCCCCATACTCCTTAAAAAGCCTAACAGTTTCTCTCCTCCCTACATTGGGAGGCCTCTTTATCTTGGTTTCTCAGTTGTCTGTAGACACTTCCCCTTTGTTGTCTGGTCTAACTCTTACTCACATTGCTAAATAGTAGCTCAATGTCATAGTCTTTACTGGTCCTACACTCACACATTACCAGGTAGTAGATTCTAACACATCTCACACAGTTTCAGAGTGTAATAATTAGTCACTACTAAGAAAGTGCTAATCATACTTAAAACAAGGACATTTCACAACTATATTTAAGGGTGGAACATTTAGTCATTACTTTTAACCTGTATATATTTTAATTTCTATATCACACATCTAACACTTTATCTGTCCTGTTTCCAGCTGCCCGTGCCCATGTTCCTGCCGGTGACCCTGGATAACGCAGAGAGCATTGTGGAGACCATCCAGGACATCAAGGAGAAGATCCCCTCTGACCCGTTCGAGGCCGACCTCATTCTCATGGCCGAGATGGTGGCCGAGGAGGGGAGAGAGAAGTCCCCGGAGCGACCCCCTGAAAGACCCCCAGCCCCAGCAGTACAAGACGGTAACCAGGGGAGGGAGACAGGGAGTGGGATGAAACCTGGGTCATGTTCATTAGGAACCAAATGGAAGAAAACAGACTGAAAAGGGGAGGGACTACCTGGATTTGCTAAACATGTTCTGTTGCGTGGCCTAATGAACATGAGCCATTTGGGTAATCAGAGTTAAACAGTGGTTACTGTCTTTGAGCCTGTGAGACTCCCTCTATGGCTTCATAGGGCCAAGCTACAGTGGGGAAAAAAAGTATTTAGTCAGCCACCAATTGTGCAAGTTCTCCCACTTAAAAAGATGAGAGAGGCCTGTAATTTTCATCATAGGTACACGTCAACTATGACAGACAAAATGAGAGAAAAAAATCCAGAAAATCACATTGTAGGATTTTTTATGAATTTATTTGCAAATTATGGTGGAAAATAAGTATTTGGTCAATAACAAAAGTTTCTCAATACTTTGTTATATACCCTTTGTTGGCAATGACACAGGTCAAACGTTTTCTGTAAGTCTTCACAAGGTTTTCACACACTGTTGCTGGTATTTTGGCCCATTCCTCCATGCAGATCTCCTCTAGAGCAGTGATGTTTTGGGGCTGTCGCTGGGCAACACAGACTTTCAACTCCCTCCAAAGATTTTCTATGGGGTTGAGATCTGGAGACTGGCTAGGCCACTCCAGGACCTTGAAATGCTTCTTACGAAGCCACTCCTTCGTTGCCCGGGCGGTGTGTTTGGGATCATTGTCATGCTGAAAGACCCAGCCACGTTTCATCTTCAATGCCCTTGCTGATGGAAGGAGGTTTTCACTCAAAATCTCACGATACATGGCCCCATTCATTCTTTCCTTTACACGGATCAGTCGTCCTGGTCCCTTTGCAGAAAAACAGCCCCAAAGCATGATGTTTCCACCCCCATGCTTCACAGTAGGTATGGTGTTCTTTGGATGCAACTCAGCATTCTTTGTCCTCCAAACACGACGAGTTGAGTTTTTACCAAAAAGTTATATTTTGGTTTCATCTGACCATATGACATTCTCCCAATCCTCTTCTGGATCATCCAAATGCACTCTAGCAAACTTCAGACGGGCCTGGACATGTACTGGCTTAAGCAGGGGGACACGTCTGGCACTGCAGGATTTGAGTCCCTGGCAGCGTAGTGTGTTACTGATGGTAGGCTTTGTTACTTTGGTCCCAGCTCTCTGCAGGTCATTCACTAGGTCCCCCCGTGTGGTTCTGGGATTTTGTGGTCTTGTGATCATTTTGACCCCACGGGGTGAGGTCTTGCGTGGAGCCCCAGATCGAGGGAGATTATCAGTGGTCTTGTATGTCTTCCATTTCCTAATAATTGCTCCCACAGTTGATTTCTTCAAACCAAGCTGCTTACCTATTGCAGATTCAGTCTTCCCAGCCTGGTGCAGGTCTACAATTTTGTTTCTGGTGTCCTTTGACAGCTCTTTGGTCTTGGCCGTAGTGGAGTTTGGAGTGTGACTGTTTGAGGTTGTGGACAGGTGTCTTTTATACTGATAACAAGTTCAAACAGGTGCCATTAATACAGGTAACGAGTGGAGGACAGAGGAGCCTCTTAAAGAAGAAGTTACAGGTCTGTGAGAGCCAGAAATCTTGCTTGTTTGTAGGTGACCAAATACTTATTTTCCACCATAATTTGCTAATAAATTCATAAAAAATCCTACAATGTGATTTTCTGGGAAAAAAATCTCAATTTGTCTGTCATAGTTGACGTGTACCTATGATGAAAATTACAGGCCTCTCATCTTTTTAAGTGGGAGAACTTGCACAATTGGTGGCTGACTAAATACTTTTTTTCCCCACTGTATAGCTGTGAGAGCTTGTTATAACTGGGGTTTCTTGGCACTTCCACCAAGTCTCTTTTAAAAGCAATTTACAGCTGAATGACAGTCTAAAAAGCTGTTCTTAATTAGAATTCCGCATTATGACTTCAGGTAATATATCAGTTATTTTCACTGAGGACATATTCTCCTTTGCAGCAACAACCTGGGGAATACTTGCAGGGGAGGGGAGAGGGGAGGGGATGAATGAGCCAATTGGACAGCTAGGGGTGATTTGGTGGCCATGATGGTATGTGGGACAGGTTGGGACTTTAAGGACTATGTAGTAACAATAGTTTCTGGTACTTACCTCAAATAATTCAACGCAATAGTAACTACCTGGTACATGGTGATATCAATGAATCTCAAAGAAACTGAAATGTAATTAATATCACAATTTTAACGAGTACTTCCTACTTAACTGTCGAGTAAATAACGGGATGTAAAATAGAGGGTTACCGATGAATATTTTGAGAGCTGTCCCATAACTTGAATGCTTTTGTGTTTTCTGTCCGGGGACCAGACCAGGGCAGCACCTACAGTGGAGACCTGGACACAGACGAACTGAGCAACTTCCTCACCACTTGGGATGACGAGCCACCCCCCACCCCCGGCGTCTCCTCGCGCCACAGTCGACCCTACGCCCACGAGATGCTCCGACCCATCGTGGACATCAACGTCCCCGCCACCCCCCCACCCCCCATCATGGACATAGAGGCTGACTTCCCAGTCCGTGAGTGATGGTCGACTTCTACACCTCCCCAGAGTTATCAGGGATTCCTGATTTGAGCAATGGACCTGGTCTGTTAGAGGTTTTAGATGTTTTTTCTGAAATCTCCCAGTATAACTTGTAGAATACTTATACCTTGGTTGAAGACTGTCAATCTTTGTTGAGGGAAAGTATATGGTCAAAACATATTGTGACTTTATAGTGAATGGCTTCTAGCTCTATATTGTTCTGTTATGTTTTTAACATGTAACAAGCATCAGTAAGTCAAACGCTTCTTTGATACAACACACTACAATTCAGCTGGCCTCATTCTCATAGTAGTCAGTTGTATTCAAATATCTGCATCGTTTTGTCAGAAACCCTGGAGCTGATGGCCCATTGGAGGGATCAGGAGAGGGATAGAAGTCCCAGTCCACCTCCTTCTCCTCCACGACGAAGAGCCAGAAGGAAAGCTCGGGATGGCTTGCCACAGAAGAAAAAGGTAAGAGGATAAATAAGACCCCTTTCAAAAAGCGCCATCAGCAATTTTATTTCCATATTTCAACTCCCAGCAGTGCTCCTCTTTAAAATGTCTTAACATTTCCCTCATTCTTTGTAAATATTTTGTCTGTGGGTGCGTGTTTCTCCCCCGTTGACCCCACAGAAGCGTAAGTCGAGAGCAGCAGAGACTGCGTCAGCGGTGCCGTCGCTGAGTGCGGCCAAGTGTGACGTGGTGCCCGGCGAGCCCCCCAAACTGCAGCACATGTACGGGGTGGACGCCTGGAAGAGATGGGTCCAGTGGAGCAAGACCCAGCCTGACCTGGAGAAGCCTCGATTTGGCTGTGAGTCTGCTCACTGATACACTTGTGCATGCACGTGCACACACCCTGCCCTGACCATATCACGCTCACACACAGACAAACATGACTATTATAACTATCAATTTTTATTCATTTCCTGAAACCCTGATATCACACATTTTGTTGCTTTGCTTCTTCCTTATTCACTGCGTCTTTATAGAATTAAACCTACCTCTTAATTGCCAATGGGAATCATTTAACTCAGTACGCTGAATAACGTTCTGTTCCCCCCGTTACAGCGCGGCCAATGGAGATAAAGGAGGATGTTTTAAAGTGTACTACAGCAGAGCTGGGCTACGGTCTCTGTCGGTTTATCTGTGAAGTTAAACGACCCAACGGAGAGTCCTACAGCCAGGACAGTCTGTTCTATCTCTGCCTCGGCATCCAGCAGGTAGGACACACACACTCTCTCACTTCTGATGATATCATTTTGTTAATTGCCCATCTTTCTGCAGTACTTATTTCAGAATGGGCGCATGGAGAACATATTCACTGATCTCTTCTATGGCAAGTTCACACTGGAGATCACCAAGCTGCTGAAAGACTTCAAACCTACCATAACGGCCAGTGGTAAGAAAACACATACACACACTTGTAAACACAGTTTATAGCGCAAAAGTTGTAATAAGGCTTCCACTGTTGTGAATGACCTCTCTCTTATTCCATCTATCATCCTTCACCTTAACACTCACATTCTCTCCCTCTCTTGCTTTCCTTTCATGTATTTGAGGGCGTTGAGTTTGTGGTATGTGTTATTAGTATGCTTATTAAAGGTCTTTAATGTTGGAATCTCTCTCCCAGGCTACCTGCACTCGCGGGTGGAGGAGGAGTACCTGTGGGACTGTAAACAGCTGGGAGCCTACTCTCCCATCGTGCTGCTCAACACGCTGCTCTTCTTCTGCACCAAGTTCTTCCAGTTCAAGACGGTGGCCCAGCACCGCCAGCTCTCCTTCGCCCACGTCATGCGCTGCACCAAGTCCATCCACGACAACACCAAGTCCAACTTCCTTCGCTTTTACCCACCCATCCCCAAGAAGGACCTCGCAACGGAGACAGCAGGTGCTTCGCCTATTTGGTTTTCTCCTCCTTTACTCTGGAGCGATTTCAGAGCCAACAGAAACTGTATTTGAATTCAAGATAATTTTTTTTGTAATGCACAAATTGAATCATTGAATCCATTAATTGACCTTGTATTTCATGATTTGAAACTGAATTAGATGAATAGTGCATTCAGTTTTAATATTTAATTCAATTTTCTAATGTAATATTTATACAGTGCATTCGGAAAGAATTCAGACCACTTCCCTTTTTTCCTCATTTTGTTACGTTACAGCATTACTATAAAATGGATTTTAAAAATGTAATCTACACACAATACCCTATAATGACAAAGCAAAAACAGCTTTTTGAAATTTTTGCAAATGTTTTAAAAATAAAATACCTTATTTACATAAGTATTCCGACCCATTGCTGAGAGACTCGAAATTGACCTCCGGTGCATCCTGTTTCCATTGATCATCCTTGAGATGTTTCTACAACTTGATTCTATTGATTGGACATGATTTGGAAAGCACACACCTGTCTATGTAAGGTTCCACAGTTGACAGTGCATGTCAGAGCAAAAACCATGCCATGAGGTCGAACTAATTGTCCGTAGTGCTCCGAGACAGGATTGTGTCCAGGCAAAGATCTGGGGAAGGGTACCAAAACATTTCTGCAGCATTGAAGGTCCCCAAGAACACAGTGGCCTCCATCATTCTTAAATGGAAGAAGTTTGGAACCACCAAGACTCTACCTAGAGCTGGCCGCCCGGCCGAACTGAGCAATCGGGGGAGAAGGGCCTTGGTCAGGGAGGTGACCAAGAACCCAATGGTCATTCTGAAAGAGCTCCAGAGTTCCTCTGTGGAGATGGGAGAGCCTTCCAGAAGAACAACCATCTCTGCAGCAATCCACCAATCAGGCCTTTATGCTTGAGTGGCCAGATGGAAGCCACTCCTCAGTAAAAGGCACATGACAGCCCGCTTGGAGTTTGCCTAAAGGCACCTAAAGGACTCTCAGACAATGAGAAACAAGATTCTCTGGTCTGATGAAACCAAGATTGAACTCTTTGGCCTGAATGCCAAGCATCACGTCTGGAGGAAACCTGGCACCATCCCTACGGTGAAGCATGGTGGTGGCAGCATCATGTTGTGGGAATGTTTTTCAGTGGCAGGGACAGGGAGACTAGTCAGGATTGAGGCAAAGATGAACGGAGCGAAGTACAAAGAGATCCTTGATGAAAACCTGCTCAGGTCCTCAGACTGGGGTGAAGGTTCACCTTCCAATAGGACAACGACCTTAAGCACACAGCAAAGACAAAGCTGGAGAGGCTTCGGGACAAGTCTCTGAATGTCTGAGTGGCCCAGCCAGAGCCCGGACTTGAACCAAATCTAACATCTCTGGAGAGACCTGAAAATAGCTGCACAGATACGCTCCCCATCCAACCTGACAGAGCTTGAGAGGATCTACAGAGAAGAATGGGAGAAACTCCCCAAATACTTGTGTGCCAAGCTTGTAGCGTCATACCCAAGAAGACTCGAGGCTGTAATCGCTGCCAAAGGTGCTTCAACAAAGTACTGAGTAAAGGGTCTGAATACTTATATAAATGTTACATTTCAGTTTTTTTTAATACATTTGCAAAATTTTCTAAACCAGTTTTTGCTTTGTCATTATGGGGTATTGTGTGTAGATTGATGAGGGGGGAAAAACGATTTAATCCATTTTAGAATAAGGATGTAACGTAACAATGTGGTAAGAGTCAAGGGGTCTGATTACTTTCCGAATGCACTGTAAGTGGACATTATAAAAGGCCATATTTTTTTCAAATTAAACAATGGCCAATTTTAGTCGCAGTTGCATGTTTTTTTTGGTCAAAACAAATAGGTAATGTGTAGCCCGCAAATCCGTTTTTTTTTTTATATCGCCCGTGCGCTGATTGAGTTTGACACCCCTGGGAAATCTATTTATGTAGCTATTTATTTAGCAAGTTAAAAACACAGAGCCTAACGTTGCTAGCTAGCTAGCTATGCTGATCTTGAACGACTATTATCCACAGTTAGCATATCTCTTAGTTGTATTTGGCAGGCAGGCAAGTTCCCATTCAGTTGTCAACATGGGTTGGAACAAGCATGCATTGGCAGGCAAGCTGCAGAAGGACGAGCAGGCTACTATTCTGCCATCATTTATCAGTGCAATTTTGACGGCCAACTCGCTGAAAAAGTTTTAGAGCGTTTATCTAGTATCTACCCTCGTTAGATTTTAGCTCATCTCGCTCTGGCTAGCATAAGTTGTTGATCTTGTTGTTAATGTGCATAGGCAACTGAGGGAGAGAGCCTACCTTTTATGGTTGTTTTATCAATAGGACTGTGACCTATGTTTCTGTTGTCATGTGAGAGATGTGTGTGTTGTCCTCAAGGTTTCTTCCTACCTAGGGAGTTCTTCCCTTGCGACTGTTGCCTTGGCTAACTCTTTAGGAGATTTAAGTGTGGGTTGTTGTTTTTACTAATGCATTTAGTAAAATGATATAGATCAGATTTCATTCATCTGTAATCATGGATCTGTGTGTGTTGCAGATGCAGACGGTGTGGCAGTGAAGAGGAAGAGAGATGACGAGGAGAAAGAGGAGGTACTGGAGATGATGGAGAACAGTGAGAATCCCCTCCGCTGTCCTGTCAGATTGTACGAGTTCTACCTCTCCAAGTGGTGAGTGACACATACACAAATACTACATACCTTTAATCTGCCCATTGTACAGACCAATCTAACCTAGTAGTGTAACCTAATATTCTTGTTCTTGAAATTGCTTTTCAAAACTCTGCTTTTCTGAGATCTTTCCTCATGTCATTAAAAACGAGCCCCCTCTCACTCAGAGCTCTCCTCCTCACCCTGTTCTCTCCTCCAGCTCGGACTCAGTGAAGCAGCGCACCAACGTGTTCTTCCTGCTCCCGGAGCGCTCATGCGTCCCCAACAGCCCCATGTGGTTCTCCTCCCAGGGCCTGGACGACCACACCTTGGACACCATGCTGACACGCATCCTCACCGTCAGGGAGATCCATTTGGGAGACCCCCAGAGGAACGAGCCCCAGTCCAAGGACCCTGAGTGGACCCCCGACCAAGACAGTGCCGACTCTGATTGACTATGAGGAGTGGTGCCCCGACACACACACACACACACACACACACACACACACATACACAGTTGGAAGCTCTTGCTTGCATACATACATGCGCACACGCACACACACATACACTACGTGTTGATCCGTAAGGATTCCAGCCATGTGTGAAGAGTAGTGTGTTCGCACACCTATAGACTGAGAATGTGTCGTGTACACACAATGTGTAGGGGATGTGTGTAAACACAATTATAAACTGATGCTCAACCGCACGACTGGGACTAAAGAGAGAGACACTGTTCATGCTGTCTGGTCTTTCAAAATCAAATGGAGGAAACAGCAGGAGGAATCACTTGAAGAAGAATCACCATACTGCATTTGTGAGCATGGTTGGGGTCAATACCATTTAAATTCCAGTCAATTAAGAAAGTGGACCAAACTCCAATTCAAATTTTTCCTAATTGAAAAGCATTAAAGATAATTGGAATTTTTGTGTACTTCCTGAATTGAAATGGAATTGACCCTAGCCTTGGTGAGCATAATTGTGGTCATAGAGAAAAACAAGTCTGGTTAACAAGCTCTTTTCAAGTTCTTTCACTTCACATTTACATTTTAGTCATTTAGCAGATGCTCTTATCCAGAGCGACTTACAGTTAGTGAGTGCATACATTTTCATACTGGCCCCCCGTAGGAAACGAACCCACAACCCTGGCGTTGCAAGCGCCACGCTCTACCAACTGAGCTAAAGGGGACTACTTCACAATATGAGACAATGCTCTCCAGCCCTATTCAATATGGACTCTGATTGGGAAGACGCTTTTAAGAAGTTGCCGATCCCATTGACTGATGCTACATCTGACCAAGTCCTTTCTAATGCAGAGTTCTTATTTCTGGTCTCATCTTTCTGTATGGGATCACTACAAATATGAGGACGCATTGAAAATAATGTTGGTAATTATTATTACAGATGTCATTCAGTCATGTCAGCAAAGTTGTTTTTGTGATTTTGTATGTTAAAGGATATATTATGACAATATTTCTGGTATTAGCTGTTGTTTTTGGGAATGAGAACATCGAACAAACACCGAGGGATATAACTAGCTGTCAATAGGGTTTGTCCAAGTCCATTGCCTACTAAAATTGATGACACGCATTCCATTAATTGTCTTGAGTTATATTTGGAGTCATCTGAACATGCTAAAACGCTTTCACATTAGTGCTCCCATATGCATACACAAGAAAGCATGTATAATGTTGTTAGGGGAAAAAATTGTCATTCTCTGTTTCCTTATGTTAAACATTCAAACACTTGAGATTTGGTGTGATATCAAGGAGAGAACCCTGAATCCTCAAAGTGGAATTAGAAATGAATATGCTATAGTTTGAGGCCATATTGACAGTTCATTTGGAAAGGCGAGCACTTTTTACATTGTAAGTGCTCCCCATACTGGCTCATAGAGGTGCGTCTCTTCGACTTTGTTCTGAGGAAAACTTTTGTATCAAATATTATTTTTAAATAAATGCTGAAAAACAAATGTTTAGCTTTTGAAGCTTTATTTATCTAGTTAATTCCAGATTGTTTTAAAATAATACGTACAACATTTATTGCGGTCATATGATTTAGGCGTGAAGATCTCTGATCAATTCTGTTAGCCACTTTAAGAAGGTGGCTAGATTTACACCCTAGCAGAGTATAAAACAGTAATTGATAGTAAAACTTCAGACATACAGTACATTCGGAAAGTATTCAGTCCCCTTGACCTTTTCCACATTTTGTTACGTTACAGCCTTATTCTAAAATTGATAAAATCATTTTTTTCTCTCATCAATCTACACACAATACCCCATAATGACAAAGCAAAAACAGGGTTTTAGAAATGTGCGCAAATTTGTTCGACTGGGTTCAAGTCTGGGCTCTGGCTGGGCCTTAAGAAGCCACTCCTGCGTTGTCTTGGCTGTGTTCTTAGGGCTGTTGTCCTGTTGGAAGGTGAACCTTCACCCCAGTCTGAGGTCCTGAGTGCTCTGGAGCGAATCTCTGTACTTTGCTCTGTTCATCTTTCCCTCGATCCTGACAAGTTTCCCAGTCCCTGCTGCTGAAAAACATCCCCACAGCATAATGCTGCCACCACCATGCTTCACAGTAGGGATGGTGCCAGGTTTCCTCCAGACGTGACGCTTGGCATTCAGGCCATAGAGTTCAATCTTGGTTTCATCAGAGCAGCGAATCTTGTTTCTCATGGTCTGAGAGTCCTTTAGGTGCCTATTGGCAAACTCCAAGCGGGCTGTCATGTGCCTTTTACTGAGTAGTGGCTTCCGTCTGGCAACTCTAGCATAAAGGCCTGATTGGTGGAGTGCTGCAGAGATGGTTGTCCTTCTGGAAGTTTTTCCCATCTCCACAGAGGAACTCTGGAGCTTGGTCAGAGTGACCATCGGGTTCCTGGTCACCTCCCTGACCAAGGCCCTTTTCCCTGTACTCAAACTACATTGTTTGGATAAACCTTTGATTCCCCCCCAAAAATGTTGGTCTGTCATGGAAAAGTCTACACAATATGCTTTAATAGAAGCAATATATGCAACTGAATGATCATGCTTCGTGCTTTTCAGCTAAAGTGAATGTATCACTATTTCAATACAAGATTCTGTCCTTTTATTTGGATCTAGGGATGTGTTTTCCACCTATAACCACGTTCCCTCTTGTTCCTCTGTTAGCCTGATCCAGAACTGGTCTTCAAGGTAACACATCTTTGTACCAACTTGCTCATCTAAAAATGTATTAATCAGAAACATAATAACAAATAATTTCTGAACGCTACTATGGTTTAAGTAGAGCACATGCAATGGTGCCCTTCAATGATTGTAGAAAATGTACAGTATTGTGATTTTCGCATAGCTCACATGTAACCTTGTATGCTATGGGCTGTCGCAAACTATCATTGGCATGGCAATGATAGTTGTCTACAACCCATTAAGTATAGATACGAGATTTTAGATTTTTTTTAGTTCTATAATAGGAAAAGTACATCAATTTAGAGTAATCAAGACACTTAATTGGCCACGAGTCTACTAGTTCACTACTAAGTAAACAAAGAGATTTGCAGGAATCTCCTTGCGAATTATTTTTACCAAACAAATGTCAATTTGTTCCTTCAAAAAGTAAACATAAATGTCCAACTTGATGTAAACATACACTACCGTTCAAAAGTTTGGGGTCACTTAGAAATGTCCTTGTTTTCGAAAGAAAAGCAATTTTTTTTAGTCCATTAAAATAACATCAAATTGATCAGAAATACAGTGTAGACATTGTTAATGTTGTAAATGGCTATTGTAGCTGGAAACGGCTGATTTTTAATGGAATATCTACATTGGCGTACAGAGGTCCATTATCAGCAACCATCAGTCCTGTGTTCCAATGGCACGTTGTATTTGCTAATACAAGTTTATCATTTTAAAAGGCTAACTGATCATTAGAAAACCCTTTTGCAATTATGTTAGCACAGCTGAAAACTGTTGTGCTGATTTAAAGAAGCAATAAAACTGGCCTTCTTGAGACTACTTGAGTATCTGGAGCATCAGCAATTGTGGGTTCGATTACAAGGAAGATGAAATCTTATAGTTAGTCATTTTATAATTTGATTATACTATATTTAGAAAGCATATAAGTCATTTCAAGCCTTATTCATCTAATTTTGTTAAATAGGAAATACGTAATTTACAATATTTCATATTTTCGTATTTGTATCATATTTGTACTGTGTACTTGGGCTTGTGTCCTCAAAAGTGGCTACACCTCAGCAATTTATAACTATTTTTACCAGAAAGGTGAGATCTTAACCTTTCTTGGAGTATGCAGCATTTCTAGTTATTGTTTATGGCCCTCTCATGATAAATAATAACTTTTGGGGATTACGTAGATTCCATTTTTGATTCCATTTAGTTACATTTAACTGATTTAATAAATCATTGATTATTGTATTTGCTGATGGCAGGGTAAACATGCATACAATTATTATTCAAAGTTAATTAATGTTGACTAATGCATTAAATAATTGTAATTTATGTACCCTTATTGTAAAGTGTTACCAATCATAGTGGCTTAACTAATGGCTTAACTAATTCATCAATGTGCTTAACTGCACTTCAGTCCTACATTCTGAACAAAAATAGTTCTTACAATGATCCTGAACATTCATCATATGTATTGCTATATACAGTACATTCGGAAAGTATTCAGACTGCCTGACTTTTTCCACATTTTGTTACTTAACAGCCTTATTCTAAAACATATTAAATAAATAAAAATCCTCATCAATCTACACACAATACCCCATAATGACAAGGTGAAAACAGGTTTTTAGTCATTTTTGCAAATGTATTTAAAATAAAAACAGAAATACCTTATTTACATTAGTATTCAGACCCTTTGCTATGAGACACAAAATTGAGCTCAGGTGCATCCTGTTTCCATTGATCATCCTTAAGATGTTTCTACAACTTGATTGGAGTCCACCTGTTGTAAATTCAATTGATTGGCCATGATTTGGAAAGGCACACACCTGTCTATATAAGGTCCCACAGTTGACAGTGCATGTCAGAGCAAAAACCAAGCCATGAAGTCGAAGGCATTGTCCGTAGAGCTCCGATACAGTATTGTGTCGAGGCACAGATCTGGGGAAGGGTACCAACAAATTTCTGCAGCATTGAAGGTCCCAAAGAACAACAGTGGCCTCCATCATTCTTAAATGGAAGACGTTTGGAACCACCAAGACTCTTCTTAGAGCTGGCCGCCCAGCCAAACTGAGCAATCGGGGGAAAAGGGCCTTGGTCAGGGAGGTGACCAAGAACCCGATGGTCACTCTGACAGTGCGTCAGAGTTCCTCTGTGGAGATGGGAGAACCTTCCAGAAGAATAACCATCTCTGCAGCACTCCACCAATCAGGCCTCTATGGTAGAGTGGCCAGACAGAAGCACATGACAGAACGCTTGGAGTTTGCCAAAAGGCACCTAAAGGACGCAACCATGAG